TCTATCTATCTATCTATCTATCTATCTATCTATCTATCTATCTATCTTAGTGTTCCTAAAACAAAATAGCATCTGTATTTGGAGACTTGAGATCTTGAGAGATCTCTGCATACTTTGTAACCCTCCTTGGCTTCTCAGAGTGTTCTGACAGGAAGCCTGGATCCCCACCCTGGCTGCCTGCTTGCTGGGGGTAAGGGTGCAGGTTTGAGCACTGAGCATAGCCCAGCCTTCCAACCACAGGCATTCTGGATTACCCCTGCAATGTGCTGTAGCTGCCATTTCCCACCTGTCCTCTCTTCCCAGAGTTGTGTGGGTCAAGTGGGAGTTGGCTGTCACCAGCACTTTGGATTCCAATGAGAAAAAAAACAGTGCTATTTGAAGTGCAGACTAAGGGGATCTTTGGGGTTTCTCTCAGCACTTTCTCTTCTTCCATACACAAATCAGAACAGTTGTCTGTACCCCACCCACCTTCCTTCTCCCTGGAGCCGTGTGACTCAGGATGGAGATAATAACTTTCAAAGGAGCCTCTCCTCACACTCACCAGGAAGTGCGTCAGTGTGCCAGAATCCCCGGGGAGATTTGAGGTCATGGAATAAGTTTTCCAGCAGTGATCTAGTTAGAAACTAGAATGGTACAAGCTATGAATAAAGCTTTAAACTGTAGGCATCTTATTGATTTGAAAAGAGGTATTGTCAGTCTTCAGAAGTGTCTGTTATTGGCTCTAATCAATACTTAGACAGAATCCTGTCAATAGGAAGACCATGTGATGGGCCTTTCTGAGGAGAGCATCCAAGCACTTTGGAAAAGGGAAGAGATGTACCACATCTGGTTTTCTAAACAGTCGTGGAAAATGTTACCCTTGGGGTGAAAAATAATGTAAAGTCACTCAGCCAGAACCACCCATCAGTGTCTCTGAATGTTTATCTCCTCCTCGCCCTCTGTGGCTTCTCTTAAAAGTAGGGCAGACACATGTGAGTTTCCACTGCATATGGTGGGCTGGAGGATGGGCTGGTGGAGGAGTGCGCATGTCAGAATCAGCTCTGTGTCTCTCCGGAACCACCAGCCTGCAATTGTGGAAGGGAACGTGTGCACAGTGCTGTGCGGTGAGGACAGGAGATGGATGAGCTCTACTGTAAGCGACAGCTGGTTTACTGGGAGTGAGTGTCCTCCATCAGAAGATCTGCCGCTCTGGGAGTGGTGTGGTTATTAGCCAGGCAGCCTGGATGCAAGAGCCACGACACGTGTTTTTAAAAGCTGCTGTGCAGAACCATGGCCCCTTCGAAGCCCAGGCAGAGTGATAAGTAGAGTGGGAAACATGGCCAAATGGCTTACCCAAGGATCAATAAACAACTAACAACATTCTCCAGCCCCAATCTTGGGTTTGCGTTTTGCTGCAGTTCCCACAGTGGAACCCTGTCGATGGCAACATTTATCATGTCTGGAGGAGTTAAAGAACATCGCAGGTGTGCACTCACATTGAGTACAAAAAGCAAACTTCATCAGATTGGCAGATATCTGGTTGTGCCAATATACCCTGCTTCCCAGTCTGTAGTTACACAACCCCCATGGCAGTGACCTCATTCTCAAGCACAGTATGCACTTTCATCTTCTTTGCTGCTGAGGCTGAGAGCAGGGAAGAACCAGCTGTGTGGCTCACGTCAAGCTCAGGGCTGTCCGCTGCCCCATGGCCATTTGAGGCCAGCATCTCGGAAGCTGTTTATGCACGTTATACTTTTTAGTAATTACTGAAATGGAGGTCTGATCACAGGTGATTCGTGTTGCCAGCATTTCGATCCGATGGTCCCAGGGCAAAATGAAAAGGGTGGCTTGGATGGCTAGAGAGAAAACTGCTTGTTTTCCCGGCATTGGAATAATTAGTTAAAGGAAAGTTACCCTGACATCCAGAGGTACGACACAATTCATGTGGCGAATGCAGCCTAACAAAAGATTCACGACAATATCAGAAGAAACTTGACTTCACATTGATCTCTGAGACATCATTCACTGTACTGCCAGAGGCCTTCGTCCCCAGAGCAGCTGCACTGTTAAAGCCTTAAAGAGATGTCCCCAAAGCCGGCATTCCCTCAGCTAATAGACTCTGACTATGCTACCTCTCTGTCTGTCTGTCTTTCTCCAACATAAAGAAGATTCTGGACAGAGCATGTCTAATGAGATTAGCATGTCAGAACGATAAACCACCACTCTAACTCCCTTCCCCCCAGCTGTGGTAATACAAACCTATGATCATACCACTCAGGAAGCAGGAAGATTTCAAGTCAGAGGCCAACTTGAGTGACATAGCTAGTCTCTAAAAACAAACAACAAACTTCAGTGACTCAGGATGCCAATGTAGCCCAGTAGTAGGACACTCACCTAGAATGCACAAGGCCCTGGGTTCAGTCCCTACTCCCTCCAAAAAATTAATTCTTTAAAAGGTTCCCCTCTTGAGCCTCGATAGTATGTATTTTTTTTTCACTGTGACCTGGTTTATTCTGTAGATCCTGTAGCTTCCTTAGGAGCCAGACCAGAGCAAACTACAACAGAGCACATGATCACACACTGTTGGTCTTTGTTGTATCTTTGCTCTGCACACACAGGTAAAAATTTACAGGTACTTAAGGTACGTAGTAAAAGGGCTCACCCTCCCCCCACCCCAGCTTCCCTCCTGGAATGCAGCTCACTCAGTAGTTTAGAGCATACCTTCCACAACAAAGGCAGGTCCTAGAGCTCTCTGGTCAGTGGTTCAAATGATCACCTGATTTTTATCAGGCTTGCCCTGATTTCTCAGGCCAACTTATACATACCAAGTTATTACCTATTTTTAGCTGATAGCTCAATGTAACTTACTAAACAAGTATCTCTTTAATAATCCCTCAGCCACCTGATTTTATTCTTGGGGGGACTTTTAGACTGTAGACAGAGCGCCCGCCCTCCTGGTCATGAGCCCCTGGCACATTCCCAGTCAGAAGGCAAATGATGTCTGCATGGCCATGAGTATCATTCCTGGAAGCTCCCACCACAGTAGATTATACTTTCAAGGTCAGTCTTCGGTGCACCATTCTCTTTTATCTGTGGAAAGATAATAGTTTCAGAAAAGAATGCTGAATTTAATCTCCGTGTAACAATGAAGTCAGGAGTGACCAATGGCTTATGTAGGAAAATGTTGCTGATATGTGGATCTAACCTTTTAAGGACTTGTTTGGGGTTTCCTGCCAATAGATGTGGACCGCCTGGAGTTGATTCATCTGTTTTTATCGAATACCACATAAGCTGGCTTCTCATCTTTGTTAAATAGAAACTGGGCATGCATGGGTCAGGCAACCAGGGCAGCTCCCTCAACACTGCAGAACTCCCCTGCCTGTGTGGACAGCTGAAATAAACAGGAGGCAGAGGCCATCAATGCTATGTTGTGCCTGGCTTTTTGTGAGTCACCCCACTGTGGCAGGTCAGAGTATCCCATTCACCTTTAGATTAAGACTATTTCCAAAGGTAATGGCTTAGAGGCCATGCTGAAGATGGCTTCACTCTTCACATGGTTGCTGTTCTCAGTGATGCACAGGTTTCAGAAATCTCAGATACTGAAAAAATAGTACCACAAGTAACTTGGTATACCACCTATCTTATCTTGCCTCATTTGCTATGAACAGTACCACAGGCTCGTAAGGCACTCCGGGTGGCTGAAAGCCAACCTTGAACCCATTGAAAAGAATGACCCATGAGCATAGACTTCAGGTTTGGATTTTATAGTGCCCCACCCAAGAGGTGAGCTGTGAAGAACTGGAATGTTCTTAATCAAAGGAACAGGAAATAGTAAGGTTGTTGATATCTTCCAACCAGTCTGAAAAGACTGGGTAGTCATGTGTGGTTTTGTTTTATTTTGTTTAGGTTAAAACTGTACTGAAATGTACAAACCAAAAAAATTTTGCATGGTTAGACTCTGACACAAAAAGTTCAAAAAGCTCTTGTGTCCAGATGACTTTCCAGATCAAGAAGTCTTTATGGACCAGAATCTTCCCTCTGTAGACCTGGCTGGCCCTGAACCCACAGAGAACCTACCAGGGTTGATATATTTGTTTTTACCTTCCTTTGGATATCTTCTCTTTTTACCCTGACACTGGCATCAGAACAAACATGAAAAAGATGACAACAGTTTCTCAGAGACAGGATGGATTCTCCAACAAAATGAAAAGAAAACAGTTGGGCCCAGTATAATGTGAAGTTTTAAATGTTTCTGGCTTAGGTTGTCTGTCCTTGGTGGAGACAGACAGAGGTTACAGTCTGGAGAGTGGGACTTACCGTACCTGTTTGCTTTGAGCTTTAGGTCTTCCTCTCTCTGTAAAATGTATCAAGATTATAGGAAATATAAGGGCATATAGATGAATAAGTCAGTACACATCCTGGGTACATACAAAATGGTAAGTAGGGGCTACAGAGATAGCTTCACAATTAAGAGCACTACCTGCTCTTCCAGAGGACCCAGGTTCGATTCCTCATACCCACAGGGTGGCTCATGACCATCTGCTAACTATGCATGTAGTGGATGGAATATATGAAGGCTAAACAAGACACATAAAATTAATAAAATTAATTTAATAAAACAAAAAAATAAATTGTAAGTAGTAGTGACTATTATTATTGGATTTATGCATGTGGATAAAAAACATCTAGAGGAACCATGCACATCCATGGCATGTGAGTCTCCAGAAATGTTGACATGGTATTGTGAGAAGCTGCCTGGCTTCCTGTTATCCCAGTACAGGGCTCCTGTGTGATTATAAAAACAGTTGCAGTCACATTGATTCTCTGGGCTTGCTTACTCCAGTTGGCCACCTTCACTCCAAAGCAGTTTTGGAGTTCATATGATAAGGATACTGTCCTGGGATCATAGGGTATTAGGCTGATGACTTGGAACCAAATTTGCCTACAAACATTAAGGCTTAATTTTATTGGATGCAATATTTGCTAATACCAACCCGCCAGCTTTGCTTCCAGAGAAAGTAAAATTTCAATCTGCAAAGAGGCTGTAAAGCTCAGCATCTAATGTTGTTAGTAGTCACATGATACAGGGGTTGATCCATCACAGGCTGAGCCTTTATATGACTTGGGATTCATGAAAACCAGTGATTACATGTAAAAACCCCCTTTTTCCCCATGTAAAATGGGAAGAATGACATCCCCGAAGACCAGATCAAAACTTTTACAGTTATTTTACACTTAGATTTTATTTGATTTGAAAAGTAGTGATTTTTCATTTAAAGATCTAAAGGTGAAAAATATATCTCTTATGAACAATATCTTTTTTTTTTTTTTTTCAGAAAATCCCATGTAAAAATGTGTATTTCTCTTTCTTATCTTGATGGGTGATTTGCCTGCAAGTGAATCTGCACCAAGTGCATGTAGGGTCCACAGAGACCAGAATGGGGTTTGGATCCCTAGAATTGGAGCTCAGGGTTGAGAGCCACCTGGTAGGTGCTGGGACTCAAACCCTGGTGCACTGGAAGAACAGCCAGTGCTCTTAACCACTGATCCATCTCTCCAGCTGCTTTGTAGGTACTTTTGATGTAGAGTTTTATGTGTTCATGAGTATCCATCTTTGTAAGAGTTAATAGCTGAAGGAGCTGTTACAAATTTTAAGAAGTTTTCTATCTGTCCAATTTTTCAGATTTTAGCTGAATTTTACTCTAAGTGCCTTTTGTCACAAGTAAATATTGGTGTTGATGGTCACAACTTTAAAGAGACACTAATGCTAATAGACCTTATCACTGTTGAGATCAACTACATTTGATATAGTAACTTTCAACTGCATTTTGATATAGTAAATTCTGGGGACAACCATGCCCTTCTAGGTCATTAATATGCTGTGAGTGATTAATCTCACATTCTTTCTGTGGTTAGTGGATTCAGGAGTATCCATCCCTGTGACATGACATTGTCATTTATGAAGCTTACACCCGAGAACCACACAATGGAGTTTATAAATTTCTTCAATAAATTTGCTTCTGTGGGTTCATCTGCATTCATAGCTATCCTGCGCCATGTGTGGCCTGTGATAGATGGTTATCAATGCATGACTGAGAAGTGGTCTTGCCTGTAGAATCTGAACTGGAGCCTGTGTACCGGCTGAGTGGAGCAGGCCGTGAGATTCCTGGGCACCAGAGCGGCAGTGTGAGCCGGAGGTAGAACTTAAAATGCTCGAGGCGGGATTTAGTTCCTAGTTCCTTGTGCTTTCCTAAGTAAAACAAACCAAGAACACCCTGACGTCATCGGATCAAGAACTCAGGAACTCAGTGCTTTATGTCTAACTAGGATCATGGCTGCACTTCATATCAAAAAGCCATAATTATTTAGAGCATTTAATTCAGACAAACCTTCATCCTGTATTTCCCTCGCTCCTCTTCTTGCCTTTTCAGTTCCCAAGAGACAGAGCCTCACCATGTAGTTCAGGCTGGCTCTAAACTTGCAATCCTCTGTCCTAGCCTCTCCAGTGCTGGGATTACAGGGGTTGTATGCCAGACTTTGTGACATAATGCCTGTACCAACACACACTAAAGCAGCAATGAGAGTTTTGAAGTGTGCCTTCAAAGACTGGGCAGGGTCTGGAAAGCTTAGGAGCTTTTATGTCAAGCACAAACAGTGAGGTAATAGTTCAGTCTCAGGATCAGCAAACCCTGCGAGTAATGTGAGCATCTCACCTTTGGCTCTAATTAGGAACTGTCAGAAGCTCCCCTCTCCCTTCCCATCCTGCCTTTGCTAGTCATCTTTGTAGCCCAAAGAGTGACACTCCCCCACCACCACCACGTCTCTAAGACCCACTAGGACCTCAGAGATTACTTCTAGCTCAATAGTTGGCACTGGAGTGATATTTAACACAGCAGCCATCCTGACTCAGAATCCTTGATGTTTGAAGTCCCACAAAGCGTCCTGACAGCCTGGCTTTCAGAGGCTCCCTGTAGCTTTTGGCAATTTATTGATTCCAACACTAAGGGTTCAGAGTAACTCTGCTGCAGGTGCCTGCAGCGCCAACCCATGGTCCGGCCTCTGAACACGCCTACCCGAGGCCTTGGCCTCACTGTGGGACCATCTTGCTACTATTTAGTGATTGGAGGCCCCTCCCACCTGTGCCTTTTGCAGGGGCAGGTGTTCCAGACCCCACTGACTGAGCCCCTCTGTTTCCCATTCCTGAGACACAGTCAATGAGGTAGCTTAACCCGGCTCTGTTCCGACAGGTGGTGGAAAACCAGCAGCTCTTCAGGGCCCTCAAGGCCCTGCTGGAAGACTTCCGTTCGGAGCTGCGCGAAGATGAACATGCGCGGCTGCGGCTACAGCAGCAGTACGCCAGCGACAAGGCTGCGTGGGATGTGGAGTGGGCTGTGCTCAAGTGCCGCCTAGAACAGGTACCTGCCCCTCGCCCCACCTCCCTTGTGAGCACTGTGTGTGTCTCTACCCTATCCAGGATGGATGGGGAAGAGGCACAGGTTCGTTCTCCACAGCAACCCTGCTTCAGGGGCAGGGAGAGCAGAGCTTGAGGCTGCCTGTGATGTGCCTAACCACCCAAGTCTCCTGGTTCACAATAGTCTATTTCCTGGGGGAGGTACACCTTCAACAGTAGCATTTTGTTTTGTTATTTGTCTCCTTGGCACTAAACAAGGCCTTGGAGGAGCTCCATTGAAGGGTTGTCAGCATGAAGTTGTCGACAAATGGAGATGACTATTCTGGACCACTATCCCAAGAAGCCAGAGCTAACATTTTTTTCTTTTTGAGACAGAGTCTCACTGTGTAGTCCTGGCTGGACTGGAACTTGCTGTGTAGACCAAGCTGGCCTCACAGAGATTCACTTGCCTCTTTGCTTCCCAAGTTCTGAGATGAGAAGTGTGTGCTGAATTTTGTGACCTTCACACTGTGGTTTTGTGACCTGAAAAAGGAGACATAGGGCTGCCCTTTAGAAATCGGAATATGGGAAAGAGCTTCCACTTATGGCTAGGAAACCTTGTCAAGTTCAATTTCCCTTTTATACTGAGGAAATGGAGGCCCAGAAGGCCCAGCTTACCTCAAATCTGAGTCAGAGGGAGCTAGGATGGGGAGAGCCCATGTGACCCTCCAGAGAGGATTTATAGCCCAGCCAGTGAAGTGTGGCTTGGGCCATAGGAAGTCTCTGCTGAGCTCAGCTTCTCTATGTATCTCCCACACAGTCTGCTGCTCCAGGGTGCTTCTGGGTTGTGAGGTGGAACTAGGGTCTGTGTGATGTTGGTCATTTATTGTCTAGCCTTTGTTGTGAGGCAAACTATAAAGTAATTAAAATTTTATGCGAGTTGGCTCAGCCAAGAAAGGAAAAAGTTTCCTAAAAAGGAGATACCTCGTAAATAACCTCAATCATGATAAAAGATGAAAAGGTCTTATTACTCCCAAGAAACCAGTTCTCCTAGGACAGTCCCCACCCCAGTTCACTTGCTTGGCCACCTGTACCCGTGAAGTTCGCCTGCATTACTACCTGACCCCCACCTGACTCCAGGTACCCTTCAAGTTCACCTGCACTGCCACTGATCCTGTGTCCTCCCTGCCTCCCCCTCCCCACTGTCATCTGCCATCAGATTCCACAAGCTTTCCCAGTCTGTCCTCTGTCTTCAGGTTTGCGGCTTATAGTCTGTAGAGAGTTAGGAACAACAAAGCCTTTCAGTTCAAGCCTTTGAAATGACGGACCCATGAGCCACCAGATATAAATATGCAAGGATGTTCTTCCGTGAGCTGCCATTTAGCCCTTTAGAAGTGTCACAGGCGCAGGGGATCTGTGTAGACAAGAAGGAAGACATAATTGTTTTGCTAACCACTTTTAGACATTGTACCTTGGCTTCAAAGGAGCCTGAGATCCACTAGTGTGTTGGCTACAAATTAAAACCTCGGGAGAAGAGGGCCTTCATGTCAGGAAACAAGCTAGGCCCTCAAGTTTAGAAGCCAGGTGATACCACAGACTGTTCATCTTCTGCCCTGACTGTTTAGAAAGTATTTTCAACATGCATAGTCCAGGATCAGTGAATGGCAGATAATGCCAATAATTTACTTGTTCTGAGACCAGTTTGACCTCTTGTCTTTAAATATGAAACAAAAGCCTAGATATTTTCAGTGGAGCCCAAATCTCTTTTTTTATTTGATTGTTGGTTGGTTGCTTTTTATTTTCCCCCTCCCAAAGTAAGCCTTCCTTTAAATACTGAGGATCCAGCAGCAAATGAGACAGTCCTTGTTTTTAGCTGGGCTTGGAAGTGCATACTTGTAGGAAGGCTGAAGCAGAGAGATCCCAAGTCTGAGGTCATCCTTGGTAACAAACTGGAGTCAATTTCAGGATAAAGGTAATTGCCTAGCATGCATGAGGCCCATGGCTGCATCTCTAGGGATCTTTGACGAGCAAGTACTTCATCCCCCTCCTCATCCTCTTTGTACCACTTTTTACCTCTGTATGTGCTATATATATAAAGTATCACATCCTATATATACAAAGTATCACATCTGGTTTTGTTTGCTTCAGACAATGAGTGGTGTTTAACCAACTAAAACGGAGGAAATGAGTTTTATATTTGCAGTTGCCATTTCCATTCATTGTGCATTTTCTGATAGATCAAAATATTGGCCCATGTTTCTTCTGTTTGAAGATCCTCCCTTGTCTGTCTGGAAGGGCAGGTCTGCTGGCAAGCGTTGTTTTTGTTTTTATTGCATGTTTTCACTTCTCTGTGTTAGAAAGGGTTTCTCCGTAAGTTTTTTTTTTCTCCGTCAGAATTTTATTGTCTTAGTTAGGTTGTCACTTCTCTGATAAAACACCAGCAACTTGGTGTGGAAGAAAGTTCATTTCACCCTACACTTCTACATTGCCATCCACCAATGAAGGAAGTCAGGGCAGGAACTCAAGGCAGGAACCTAGATACTGGTACTGAACCAGAAGCCATGGAGGGGTGCTCTTCCTTGGCTTGCACCTCATGGTTTGCTAAAGAACCCAGGACCATCAGCCCAGGGGCAGCACTACCCACCATGGGCTGGGCCCTCCCATCAATTATCAATACACAGACTTGCCCACAGGCCAGTCTTATGGATGCATTTTTTAAATTAAGACTTCCTCTTCCCATAACTGTTTAAGCTTGTGACAGTTGACAGGAACCAACCAGCACACACTGAATTGAATTTTTGCCTCAGCCATTTAGAGGTGCCCATCGTTATCCGGCTTGCAGAGTTTCTGATAGTTTTTGTGTGATTCTTGAGCACCATGTGTAGTGATCGATAGTTCTAGGACCAAGAGCACCGAGAGAAAACAGGATGTTTCCTGAGCATCCAGAGGGAGGAGGGCCCAGTGCTGTGCCTTTGCATAATGTCTTCTCTCTGGTTTCTGCCAGTTTGAAGATATAAGATGTATATAGTTTGTTTGGCTATTTCACCCTCAGGTATTTGAGGGTTGGCATTTTTAAAAGGATATCGGTTTCCATTATTTTGACCCAGATAGGGGCCAAGAATATTGGACCAGACATGGTACCACCATCAAGGAGCTGCAGAGGCAGAAGACAGAGTGGCTTAGACTGGGAGGTGAAGCTAATAAGGAATCTTTAAGAACTGCATTCAACAATCTAGAGATTTCACATTCAATATTTTTATTTCTGGCCTTAAAAACCCATGGAATCAGTCCAGTTCGGCTTGTGGATGTATCCTGGCTTCATGTGTGTAGATCTACTGAGCTTTCTTTCTCCTTCCAGTGCTGGACTTCCAGAAAGGGTGTTCATATCTTTTCTTCTTGGCAGCTGGAAGAGAAGACTGAGAAAAGCTTGGGAGAGCTGGACTCCTCTGCTGAGGGCAAAGGGGCCTTGAAGAAGGAGAGAGAGGTACACCAGAAACTGCTGGCTGACAGCCATGGACTGGTCATGGACCTGCGCTGGCAGATCCATCACCGAGAGAAGAACTGGAACCGGGAGAAGGTGGAGCTGCTGGAGCGTCTAGACAGCGAGCGGCAGGAGTGGGGGCGGCAGAAGGAGGAGCTCCTATGGCGGGTGGAGCAGGTAGGTATGCTGCAGCCCCGGAATGCACCACAGGTCCAGAGCGCAGCCCAGCCCAGAGTGCATTGCAGCCCCAGAGCATGGCAACCTAGAGTGCACTGCAGCCCAGAGTGCACGGCAGGATGGCATGTGGTGGCTGAATCACATGACAGAGGAGGGCCTTCATCTCATGGTGGACAGGAAGCACAGAGAGCAATAGAGAAGGACTGGGCAAGCTGTGGCAGCAAGGCCACGGCCCCAGGGACCTGCTTCATCCAGCAGGACCCCACGTCTTACCTTTTACCACCTCCCAGTAATACCATCAACTAGGAATTCATTCATTCATTAGGCCAGAGCCCCAAGGATGTAGTTAATTGAAAGGCCACTACAGACACTCCCAGGTCAGCATTACTTAAGGTAGGCATTTCTCAATCCGGTGAAGTTGACAATTAAGGTTAATCATTACACCCTACTATCACACACACCTTTCATTGCAGAGTTGGTAGATGACGTGCCTTTGTATATATGTGCAGGGGCTGGGAAGTGACCTTTTGAAGGGATTTGGAGATTAAACTTGAAAGGGGAGGTTATTTCTGGTCGCCTTCAGGGAGTTCTTCCCCAGAGTACTCTAACTCTTAGGATGGCCATGGAAGACACGGTGATGGCTGCAGCCTGAACGGAATCGTAACCATTAGTGAAGTAATTACCAAACCAAGTTAGAAGCCACTGTCTGCTGGTGATTGCTCCTGCTGTGGGTATTGCTGAGCTATGATTTGATAGGACCAGAACCTAGGGAGGTATCTGGTAGCTCATCATCTTCCCGTAAACAAACTCAGATGGATGTGGTGAGAGCAGTGGGAATTGTTTTCCTGCAGCCTGGATGATAATAATAATATTAATAATAATAATAATAATAATTATTATTATTATTATTATTATTTATCTCCACATTGCACACGCTTGGTGCCGTTTACGTAGCTGCAGTTGGCCTGGACTGCAGGTCCAGAAAATTCAGGTTTTCACATCACACTGAGAAGAGGTTTTAGAATTCCTCAGTGGCTGGATTTTCAGTCCATGGATACCCTGCCTCTTTCAATCCACCATCCCTATAAATGCATAAAGCCTCAAGAGATATCAGTCAGTTAGAAACGGTAATTAGGATAAAGGGGATCACGACTCCATTATAAGTACTCACTCGGCTTGAGCTAATCAGAGAACCTTTTGAGAAGTATGCTCTGCTAACTGCATATACGGCAGTTATATGCTATGCTAAAATTGAATGAAGGTGAATTTGAGTTTAAATTTGCACAGAGAAGGACCCAGGATGCACTTAGTGACTTAGAAATGACCCAGAGCCTTTGACTTAGTAGAGAGGAAGAAAGGGCACTACAGACAGAAGGAGCGGAAGCTCTCCTGGGTTGATCACCAATGAATCACCTTGCTAATATTTGATATGGCTCCACTTCAAAATTCTCCAAATACTACCAAGAGGAAAGTCATCACTTCCTGTTTGGTTTGGAAATACAGCACTGTGAAGAATCTGCCAGATTGTGCCTAGCATCTGTGCTCTGTTGAGTGGGTCTGCCTCGAGGCAGAAATTCAGAGCTAACAGTAGCATGTATTCTTATAAAATAAATACCAATTTATCACACCCAACTTGGTTTTTTCTTAGGAGACATGAACAGATGTCTCTGTCCCAGATGGAGTTCTGACTACAGATCAAAGAATGATTCAACCCAAATCTAGTTTAGTGAACCTTTGAGTTTATTGGGGGTATTTACAGGACCATGGATGAGAGGTTACTTACAGGGTGGCTACCAGGAGGACACCTCACTGATAAGCACACCGCTGCACCATGATTTGTGAGTGTTGTACCTATGGTACACAAACTGCAGACAGCTCAGCCAACTGTTGTCTTCTTCCTCAAAAACTGTTAATGTTTATGTAACCTTGGAGAAGACTTAGCGAATCTTCCTGAGCCTTGTATGTTTCATGAAGCTTTCTCCTCCCTCTGAGAGGCAGGCAGTGTTTCATCTCCTAGGAAACAACAGTAACCCATGGCAGCCTGGTACTAGGGACCTTCATTCCCAGCTACTACTTTGGATTGCTCACCTGAGTGTCCCTGGTTTAGTGAAGCCATCGTGTTCCCTGTCATGGGCCTTTGAGGATCCCTTTGTCTAGTCATTGTTGCTTGTTGATCCTGTCCCAGGTTTCTTTAGCTTTCAAAGTCACACTTGCTGTAAATTTGGCAGGCATCTAAGGCTTTTGTTTTTCTTTGGGGAATGAGGAATTTCTAGCAAAGAAAACCTTGGCCAGGCACATCTGATGACATTCCGTTTCTGAAGTGACCCAGGGCTGAGCTGCCACCTCACTTTGAGACTATTTTGGGGGGTGGTAACAAGGATGAAGAGCTGAGCTTCATGTCTGTGTCTTAGGTGTTGTAGCACCTGGCATTTCAGGTGTCCACCCAGCCCTCACGCCTGTTCTGTAGACTCCAGCATCTGTGCAGGATTTCCCTACTTATCAGAGCAGCCCATGATGAAAGGATGCTGCACACATGTAGACGCGGCTCTCAGAAATGAGTCTAATTTCCCATTTCAGCGTCTTAAAAGGGTTTTGTAGTCTCACTGCCCTATTTGGAAACTAATACAGTAGCCATTTTATCTGAAAGAGGACTTTGGTTCAAGTGAGTGCTCATGGAGATGTATGTATAAGTGGAAACATGCACAGGTTTCATTGCTCCCCCAGTTGCTTGCTGGTTTAATGTCTAGCTGTACATTCCATAGATGAACCGAATATGTAACTGAATATCCTTCACAGCATCCACTTGATATCTGACACCTTGGGAAGCCGTATAACCTTGGCTGGGATAACTTGATATGGACAGTCAAAGAGGTTGCACTAAATCCATTTTCCACTTGCAGAACATATGTTTCATGCTTTTCCCGTGTCGTTAAACTCCCACATAATTCTACACCAAATTGAGGCGGTAAGGATGATGAACGACTGTGGGACCGTGGCGAAGGTCACTCGGCGTGTCTCATCTACCCTAGCAGAAGAACTCTTATCTCAATTCGCATTTGACTGGGGGGATAGTTAGCTTTTATGCAGTCACACTAGATTTCTCCATAGGACCAATCAGGTCCCAGGTCACAGCCACAGAGTGTATCTTTACATGTACTTAGGGAGCGAAGTCAAAACCCGAACAGCCAGCCCATCTTCTAAAACCTGTTCACTGGGTGACCTTCTTCTTCCCACCCGGTTGTGAGGTGATAGTCTGGAGATTTTGCTGTGCTCAGTCATTCTCAACGTAAAACCTGTTAAGTTTTCTGTTTTCATTAAATGTTGTTCTGCCACAGATGGAAAGTACAGTAGTGTACAGTCCTGGGAAACCCTACCCACTAAGGACCCCATTATACCATTACAGCAGCACACAGGCATCTCAGCATCAGGGACTGCCAGCTCTGGCTGCCCCCCCACCCCCGTCCCTTTCTTTCTTTTTTTTTCTTCTTCTTTTTTTTTTTTTTAAAGGAAACCTGATACTTAGCAGCCCCAGTGCAAACTGCTGCTGGCTGCCCGGGGTTTATTTTTGAAGTTCCACTTTACTGAGTTAGGACACGTCTGCTCATAGCTCTCCTCTTCAGTCGTCCCTTCACACACACCCTCGGTGCACATTTGCGGCTCCCGGCGTGATGCTTGCATCTTAATTCCTCACCCAAAATAACTTGGGAGATGATCATGTGTTGAAACTCGAACAGCACTGACACGCGTTAAGAGGGATATAATAAAAAGCTTTCCTTTTTATATAATTTTTTTTTAAGTGGAGCATTTAGCATCATTAAGGGAACTGCAAAGAGATGTGTCGTGAGGGAGGGGGAGAAGAGGCAGAGGGAGCTGAGCTCGAACCTGGAGAGATTGGATTATTCCCCGATTGAACAGTGAATCAGCTGCAGGTTGCCATCTAAACTTCTGCTGCAGATGCCCCCATCTTTCTTAAATTAACAATAATGTTCAGAGCTTTCTTTGTGAACACCTCCAAACTGAGTAGAAGGTCCTTTTGTCCGATGCAGCTTCCTCCTGGTGGGTCACAAGCCACACTTCTGCAAGCTTATGGATGTAGACTCAAATTAGGTTACAGTGATGCAGTTTGTAAAGATGCTCTCAAAAACCGTCTGTCTGGGTTTGAGGGATTTTTTAGAAATTCTTCCACCATCTCAGCACTTGAGAACCAGAAACCTTCAGTCGGCAGCCACTCTTTCAGATGAAGTCCAAATATCACTTTAGATTTTGTTAGAAAATTTACTTATACAAGAGACTAGTCAATCTAGGAGCGTATGCCAGTGACGATCTTATTGGAAAGTCCTGGGTGAATACTATCTTCAACCCTCCATTGTAGTTTTTATGGGGGGGGGTGTCTCTGGGAGCCACAGCTCTGGGACACATTGGTCCTCCGTGATTTTACATAGCTATATCTGTATCTTCCAGTCCCCTCTGCTGTCTTACCTGTCTGCTCATCTACAGTGAGCTAAGCAACAACTAAGAAATTACTTCCTCTGGCAAACCAGCAGGCCACACGTCCACAGCTACAGTCCCTGCCTTCTTAAGTGCTGGGATTTGGAGCAGGGCCTTGCAAGTGCTAGGCACATGCTTTCTCTCTGCTTTTATTCCCAACCCCTTCATCTCCAGTCTTCTCACTCCAAGTGATCTGTGCTCACCTGCTACTACTTCAGTTTACCAAGCTAGACCAACAAGCGTGCCAGATCTTTAGCCGACTGTATAGTTAAGTTTTAACCCTCTCAAGCAGAATTAAAGTCGTCTTTAGCACCACGTGACTATAATCCAGTTCAATCACTTGAGTTATATATAGAATTTGTTATCCGCCTTGAATCAGTTAGGGAAAATGTGGTTCATCTCAGGAGCTTGCCATCTATGAAAGTATTCTACGGAGGGTAACTAAAGTCCTGGAGGTAATTTGCAAATGAAAGTATTAAAGCTGATGCTTATTCCCATTAAGCTTAAAAAAAAGTCTAATTTCCCGTGAGTGCAATAATTGATAAATAAATTATAGGACTACAACAAAAGTGAAGAGAACAACAGCAAAGAGCCCTCCAAATAGAAATGTTTGCATCAGGAAGGCTTCTGTGGTAAATGCAGATCCTGCAGTTCTGGTAAAGCATGCTTTTCTTCAGAAAGTATCTGCGGGATCCTGTGGGACATCTTGAAACTAAGGTCAGAACCGTAAGAGCATTTGCTTCTAGCCTAGTCTTTTCAGATAGACACGGGCAACTCAACACAGAGGGAAAGGACAGGCTTAGAGAGATTGTCACGCTGAAAAACAGCAGCTTGATTATTTCCATTTTTAACACCCATAGTTACAGAAGGAGAAGAGTCCCCGGAGAAGCGGCAGTTTCCTCTGCAGCCGAAGAGAAGATGACACCCAGACTTACCCACACCAAGGGAGCCTACACCCATCCCGACCTGTGTCCATGTGGCCCTGTGAAGACACTGACTCCATTTCATTTGAAGACCGGCCGCTTTCCAAACTGAAGGAATCAGACAGATGCTCAGCCAGTGAGAACTTGTACTTGGATGCTTTGTCCCTGGATGACGATCCAGAGGATCCGCCACCCCTCAGGAACTGCCTTGCCAAGGTCAGCCTGGGTTTGTCCCCTGAGGTTCCTAATGGCTAGAGGGAACTGGCATTAGGAACAGCCAGTGTCTAGCAGTGTCTCTTCTCATCAAGTTCCCAACAAAACCTGTGTGTTGAGCCACACATGCTATTGTGATTGATGATGTGATGCTTTTGTTTGACGGACCTGACCGCAATCCTGCTGAAATGCTGGACTGTGGTCCCATGTAATGTGACACCTCTTAAAAATAAGTGTAGTCAACAAAATACAAAAGAGAAAATAAATGTATATTTTTCAACTTTTCTTGAAATAGTATAGTTTCCTGATTCTAGGAAGCTAATGGCTGAGAAGTAATTCTGTATTAAGAAATTTCTTAACATTTAATAGCTACGTAATGGCAGCTACTATAACTATGTTATTCTGGGCAAAGGGGAAAAACACCCAACAATCAGATTGCCAAATGAGTGAATTTAGAGAGCCACCAAATTTCTGTGACATAAGATCATTTTTTTCCCCTGTGATCATGTTTTTTAAGACCTCATTTTAAAACTGATATAAGGATAGTGAGACCCTGTCTCAAAACTGGGAGGATCAGATGGGATTATGGGTATAGGGATCATTGTATGTGAACCAATGAACAGTGGCTACACTGGATGGCATTCTTTCAAATACTTCATACTTACAGGGACTTGCATCAGATAGTGTTGAAATATGGGGATGTTATATGACTTAATGTACCTGATTCAAAATGCTGAAACCATAGGGTTGCAGATTTCCAACTCTTCCAGAGTTTAGGATCTTTACATACACATAATAAGATGTCTTAGGGATCTGAGTCAATTCAAACACAGAAATCATTTTAAGTTTCATATACACCTTATGCACATCACCTAAAAGTAATCTTATTCAATGTTTATTTTGTGTGTGAAACAAATGTCAGAACTGAAAGTTTTCCAGATTTTGAAGTGTTTCATATTACAGATTTTCCAATGCTCAACTGTGTAGTCAGTGATATCAAACACCTTACTCCCAGTAGTGTATATTGGGGTGGTAAAATGTTTGTCAGCCCTGCCCACAGATCTGCAGGCATTCTCTATAGTTCAGTTTCATAGAAAAGAGGGGACAGGTCAAAGTGGGAACCTTACTTCTCTGAGAAGGGGAAACAGAGACACACTGTCTGTGAGGAGAGGCACCCTTCAGTCTTACTATCCAGAGGAATATGGTTTCATTACTGTCAAGTGATTGTTTCTTCTAAGCTGTGTCAGCTTTCGAGTTTTTTCCTAACAGACAGACAGACAACCTGTGCGTTTATGGTGCTATTTGCCAGCATAGCTCTCTCGCTCTTATGGATTGTAACTAAGAATGTTTAAAAGCAAGCAGGGTCCTGGTCCCAAGGATGCCACACCAAGCACCATGGAAAGATTTGGATCAGAGGACATCAAGCTCCCAACTCTTTCCTCACTGTTACCCTCTCTCTGCTCCTACCCCAACATATTCATATTCTCTCTCTCTCTCTCTCTCTCTCTCTCTCTCTCTCTCTCACACACACACACACATACACACACACACACACACACACAGACTTGCTCAGGATCGACAGTTCTTTGAACTTCATAAAGTCAGGAGGTCTCCATGGAAATGCTGGGGAGCCATTTGCCCAACAGCTCAGTCAGTTTTCTTACTCAGGCAGTTCCTCCTTCCTCAGGGAGACTACAGAGGCTACCCTACCCTTCCATGATGCTTCATGTACTGCTTTTACTGTTTGGCTTCAAAGGGCTCAGGCAGTGGCTTAGGGCTTGGCCTCAGTGAGCATTCAAAACCACATCTTAAGGGACCAGAGCAGAACAAGTCACTTTAGCACAGACAGGATTCCTAGGAAGTCAAAATTGAGTGATTCCAGCAAGTATTTGTTTCCCTTTACAGGAAGAAGAAAGTCGCAAGGGAAATCTTCAAAGGTAAGTAAATGGATTGCTTTTAAATTATTCATCTTATAGACATGCTGTGTTTTTAGTTTTAGCAACAAAAAGGTAACATATGCTTCATATGCCAGGTCCAAAGAAGTGTTCGGAAAGGGCAGCTATTAAATGATCCAAGGAAAACTTTCTTCTCCTGAAGTTCAGAAAGCCTCTCCATCTATGGGGCGTTGTACTTGCTATACGAGAGTTTGTTGTAAAAGTCTTTCCTGAAGGGAATAGACTGGAGCTGCTACTCTTCATGTTAGTTACACACCAGCTCCCTGCTTGCCCAGCTGAGCTCCCTGATTCTGCCCTTCTTCCCTATGTAGATGGATACATGAGCTCTCTGGTTCTGCCTTTCTTTCCTCTAAATGGATACATTTTGTTTCCATGAGTGCTCTTTCTCTGGCAGTTTGCCACTTTCAGCTTTATCCTTAATTGTCAGCGAACTTGGAGGCTCTATCTCTTTGTCAGCCTGTGCTGGCTGTTGTCCACACAACCCACACTGTTGCCTGGGCATGGATCTGTCCTTCTCTGGTCTTCCCCAGGCAACACAAAGTCCACTTGTAGGCTTGGGCTCTGGAAGTAATTTGCATATGCCTCTTACTGTTCTGTTCCCGAGGGTCTGGGACTTAAGTGCGTTGGGCCTCAGTTTCCACATCTGTAAACATTGAGAGCTTAGTTTCTCTAAAAGATACTCGAGTTTCTCTGTATAGCTTACATGTACAGACACGCAGGAAGTCAGTCGTATTTGACACAGAGGAGTAGCACGTAGCTGTCACTCCATCAACCAACCACTCTCCCCCATCCACAGCCCCATTAGCTTTGTGTTGAAGGTGAAGGTGGAAGCTTTGAGCCCTTCTCATGTAATAACCCAGACCTCCCACCATTCTGTTGCCTTTTTGCACTATAACCGTGTTTTTAAATTTTACTTGCTCCTATGGATTTCAAAAGTAGTCAACATGAGGATTATAAATTCTCAATAGCATTCAAAATGTCCAATGCAAAACCACGAAGGTCCTGACCCTCCCCTGGCTATGTACCCTCCACCCTCTGACTTCCTGCCACACCTCCTGCATCAGGAGGTGCCCAAACATGCTTCTGGTACATCCCAGTCCTATTGTTTCTCTAACATGACTGCTTCTAAGGTGTGTGTCCCTCCATTCTTTTTCATCTCTGTGTTCCTCCCTCCAGCTCACCCCAGAGCTATGAAGCCCTCACCTGTTGCTTCCACTGGTGGTCCTGTGTAGACACCACTGAGAGTACAGGCTTGCTCACAGGGTCGCCCCAGCCTGGCCTACTTTTATTAACAGGCTCTGTAGAGAAATAGTCTGTGTGCTGGATCTGGGATCACCTCTGGCATGGCTAGGGCTGCGCTAGAACCCTAGGTATAAACTCTTATCAGGTGAGGGGAAACTCATCAAACATGATGGTGTCTACCTTGCCTCCCACTTCAGCTGCAGCTGGAGAGATTCCAAATCACAAAGGTTCTGTCACCTCAGGTGGCCAGCACATCCAGTCCCCAGCCTCTGAGCATTTGTTTACCCTGGTGGGTGGACCGGGTGCATGAATCCCCAGCCACTTCCTGACTTGTCTAGTGTACCACCCACCACCTCTGTGGTAACAGATGAGCACATAGAAAGCATTCAACGAGTTTATGTCAGATTGAAATGGGCGGAGTTAAAACGCCTGCACTGAGGTGTCCACACTCACGTTCATACTCATTGGTTATCAAAGTCCAGCTATGGCTTTGCCACACTTGTCTTCCCCTTTACTGCTGTTCATGGATCTAAGCGAGTTTGTCTCCTATAGAGGACAGTAAAGACATGGGCATTCATCAGGTGAGTATATCAGCCACTCAGAAGATATCAAGGGGCTGGCCCATGCTTTAAGAGTTAGGTAGAGGCAGGTACCTCCATGGGTCCGTCTTGTCCAGAGCACAGCCCAGGAGCTGACACCTGTTCTGCATCTTTCTCCAGGGCTGTCTCTGTGTCCTGTATGTCTGAGTTCCAGCGTCTGATGGACGTCTCTCCGTTCTTGCCTGAGAAGGGCCTACCATCTGCCAGCAGCAGGGAGGATGTCACTCCACCCTTGTCTCCTGATGACCTGAAGTACATCGAGGAGTTCAACAGCAAAGACTGGGACTACACATCCCCCAGAGCTGGGGCCGATCGGCCTCCAGACCTCTGGGAAGACAGGACCGAGGTGGGGAGGGGAGGGCATGAGGCCACCCCAGAGCCTTGTCCCGACTCCTCCTGGTACCTGACCACAAGTGTCACCATGACTACAGACACCATGACCAGCCCAGAGCACTGCCAGAAACAGCCACTGCGGACCCATGTCCTCACTGAGCAGTCTGGGGTGCATGTGCTGCACAGCCCGCCTGCCATTCGCCGGGTTGACAATATAGCGTCAGGTGGTGAGGGCAGGAGCCGAGTGGACCCTGAGGGCCCCTTTCCTATGAGCAGAGCAAGAGGGAACCTGGCAGATGCCAAAGGAGGTCATCCAGAACCTATGCTCAACAGGTGGTCTTGCACCCCACCCAGACACCCCCGAGACTGTGTGGAGGGGTCTCTCTGCCCCCTTGACAGACCCATCTGCCCCTCCCTGGGATATGCCTCCACTTTGAACAGCCTGGATATGTCTAAGAACATGAGTGATGACATGAAGGAGGTAGCCTTTTCTGTCAGGAATGCCATCTGCTCTGGTCCTGCCGAGCCACCAGTCAGGGATATGGCCTGCCAGACCAATGGGTCCAGGACAGCAGGGACACAGACCATCCAGACAATCAGTGTGGGCCTGCAGACTGAGGCCCTACGTGCCAGTGGCGTCACCAGCAGTCCCCACAAGTGTCTCACGCCAAAAGCCGGAGGTGGCACCACACCCGTGTCTTCTCCTTCCCGCAGCCTTAGGAGCAGACAGGTGGCCCCTGCCATTGAGAAGGTGCAGGCCAAGTTTGAACGCACCTGCTGCTCCCCAAAGTATGGTTCTCCCAAACTTCAGAGAAAGCCCCTCTCAAAAAATGACCAGCCAAATAGCAGGACCTCACCAGGCATGCCCCAGAAAGGGTTCAGCGAGTCAGCCTGGGCCCGCTCTACCACCACAAGAGAGAGCCCTGTGCACACTACCATCAATGATGGCCTCTCCAGCCTCTTCAACATCATCGACCACAGTCCTGTCGGGGTGCGGGCTGGGAGCCGATCTCGATCAGCAGAACCTCGACAGGAGCTGGGTCCAGGCCAGGAAACAGGCACCAGTTCCAGAGGAAGGTCGCCTAGCCCCCTAGGGGTAGGCTCAGAAATATACAGGGAGGATGGGGGAGAGAGCACACCAGTGAGACAGGACTTATCTGCACCCCCTGGCTACACACTCACTGAGAATGTGGCCCGGATCCTCAACAAAAAGTTGTTGGAGCATGCCTTAAAGGAGGAGAGGAAGCAAGCCACCCATGGCTCCTCAGGTCTCACCAATGACAGCCACACAGGAGAAGCAGTGCCAGCTGAACCAGGATCCATGGAGGTAAATTGGGTAACTGTTCCCTTCCCCATTAGGTCTGCCTTAGGTTGCATGGCATAGGAAGCTTGGAACGGATCCTGGGCAGTGGTTTCAGTAGTTCATGTAACTTGGGCAGGAATGGAGTGAAGACGGAATGGAACAGGCAGAAAGACAAACTTAGTGTATCAAGTTTACTCTAACTGTCCCAGAATCATGAGGATGTGTCTTGCTCTAGCTCTGTCCTCTGGTCAGGCTAAGTCTGACTCTCTTGGTCTGGTATATATTTGCTCTCTGTGTGTGATGTAGTGCAAGTGTAGAAACTGAGTAAGTGGAAACTGTGTGTGTGTGTCTGCGCGTGTGTGTGCACGCGCGCATGCGTGCATCTGTCTGTCTGTCTGTCAGGATTTCTATATACCAAAGCTCTTTATGTGTGGCTGAGTGAGGAACATGTAACAGTGTATTTAGATAACACGGACACAAAGTTCTTTCATTGAGAACTACAAGAATCTTTGGATTCTCAGGCCACCTCAGTACAGATCAGCAGCTTGTCATCTTATAAACCAACCTTTTTCATTAGAATCAGGTAATAGTATGGTAGGGAAAAAATGTGTGCCCTAATAGAACATGGCAATGGTGATACAAATCTGCACTGGATTCTCCTGATACGGATGCCCACATGTATTCACACACTGAAAACGAAACAAACACAAAACAAAACAAAAAAAGCAAACCAGGACACTCTCGGGCATGATACCACACATCTTTAGCACTTGGAAGGCAGAGGATGGTATGGCTTTTTAAGTTCTAGGCCCTCAAGGCCACATAACGAGAACCCGTGTCCACAGCAACCGGAAGCAACCTGGTAATAAGGGTGGTGACAGCTTTGAGGATTCATGCCTCACTGTCACTGCAGTGCTGACTGAGGAGGTCTGACCATTAAGTAGTTACTTGACTGCAGGTCCTAGGATCCCAGATGTATGCATATGTGTGAGCATCATCCAAGCCCAGCCCACATAACAGCAAGGGCAGGGACAGAAGACAGCAGGATGCTCTAAGGCTACTTACTGCTTCTGTGCCTGGTACCAGCCCTGGCTTCCTGATGATACGAGGAGAAAGGTGTATTTCTTTTGTTTCCCTCAAATTACTCACAGGGGAGAAATGATTCGGTTCCCATTCCAGCCCTCCAAGGAGTACTTAACTCAAAATAGAGTTCAAACCAGAAGTAGGTCAAGCCAGTGTTGATCTTGACAGTTACCTATAGAAATGGCAGTCCCGTGACCTGCTCTTCCCAAGGTCTGAGTTGTCAGGACAGATTAATTACATGCTCTGAGAAGAAAGGACATTGTAGGGTAAGAGTTCTCAGGTAGCAAATGGTGTCTTCTCTTGTCTTTTTACCACAAAACCTCAGGAGCCCTCAGATAAGTTCTTGTGGCTTGGAGGGTCCGTCTGTATATGCCTACTCTGCCTTCAGCTAAGATAGAGCTTGCTTTAAGGCATCATCAATGGGCTATCTTGAGTTTCTACTCATGTTAGAGACCATAGAGATGTATTGGGGCACTAAAGAACCTTTGTAGTCTTGACGGTGAATGTTTTGAGCAACCTGCTAGCATAGCACAGAGGATGTGGTCTCTCCCCTTTCTCTCAGACATTTGCATGTTCTGGATGCCAGGAGAATCAGTCATTTCTGTTTGGATTGACCCCCCTCACAGTAGTCCCATGGGAAATCATGTTTCGTCTCTTGGTGAATGTGTGCCAGGCCTGGTTTTCACGCCCAGATAAGCAGAGTCCCTGGTGTTTTTCCTATCCTGTGCCAAGCACCCTGTGTGGTGTTGCTACTGGGATCTCAACATCTGAGAGACAGGAAATGTTTCTTCCCTGCTCCCCTCTCACCCCTCAAGTGACCCTGTCCCATCCCCCCATCCCCCCACACCCCAGTTTGGCAGCAAGGCAGAGATGTACTGAGAGAAATGGTGTGACATCAGGTGGCACTCTTTCCTCTAAGAGCTTAATGCACCCTGGAGGGGATGGTTGAGCATGGGCAGCTGTAGCTTGTGGTGATCAGAACAAACCAGACTGTGTAGCCAGCCATGCTATTGTCTCCCCCAACCACCCTTTGCCTTTGCCATGGAAGTGCTGTCAGGGAGCTGGGAGGCCCTGCTTCTCGGTTCTGCTTCCTCCAGTGTGTTGACTCACAGCAGAAGACAACCCTGTGAGCTGAGCCACGGCCCCCTTCTGCCTAGCCTCCCTCTGAGTAAACACAGAAGCCACCAGTCCCTCCTGGAGGCCATCTTGGAGCAGGGTCTATACTTTTACTGTTTTGTTTGAAACACTTTCCAACCTACTTGTTTTTCTCTTCTTTCTCTGTCTGTCTGTCCAGAACCAAACTGTCTTACTAACTGCCCCATGGGGACTCTAGCCCTGCCTGCCTCACACTGTAAGTGCTTCTTCCCCACCTCCACCGTCCACAGAGTTGTGTGTGTAGCTGATGCACTTGTGGTTGGCATCTGGCATTCATCATCATCTGCGAACATCTACTCTCTCACCCCCAAGGGACAGACACTGAACTCAGACCTCCAGGGTCAACTACTTAGGGTGTAGATTCTGCTAAAGTTTTTCCTCTCATGCAGTTCAACAGAGAAACACTGGCCAGGAGGGCCCATCTTAGGTCTTGCCTGTGGGAGTCTTTGGCTTTGCCACTGCTCATTGGTGTTTTGGTGTTGCCATGTGCTGAGGTATGGCACACATAATGTGCTGAGCCTTCTCTCTCTCTCGTTTTTCCAAAACAAACATGAATCAAGAGTAAACACAAACATCTCTTGTCCTTCCAGCTGAGTCCATTGGTGAAAAAGTAAGTTCTTGATGAGTACAAGCTGAATGAATAGTAACAGACGTTTCTGTTCCTGGTGTTTTTGAGACCTCAGTGCATAGCCATCAGAGCCTGAACAGAGTGAGACCTATAAGAAAGTATTCATTTTGAGATGAGTCAAGGATGCAGTCACCCTCCTGATCTACCTGAAGTTAGTAACCAAAATAGAGCCATGCTATTAATCAAGGTGGCATACGCATCAGGGAGGCGGAGGCAGTGGCTATCTGAGTTTGAGGCCAACTTGGTCTACACAACAATGTCTTGGGGGAGACATAGCTACCATCAGATAAAAGGTGTGTCCCATAGCAGACTAGAGAGAGTAGTGAGGGAAATAGCCAAGAATCTAGGGGTAAAGGCCATTTCCACACCTCTCAGGCTTCTGGATTACGGACAGCATTGCTTGTTTGTGTGTGCTGGCTTTTTTATAAGGAACATGTTAATTTCCTGGATTGCACGGATGGCTCCATGGTTTTTCCTGCACTAACCGATGCTAGTAAGGAGGGTGTGATGGCCTCCGAGAAAAGCTTGTTCCTGTTCACCCTCAGTGGGAAGAGGGGCTAGATAACCCTGAAGCCATACCAACATGTAACATAGGTGCGCATGTTCAGTCTGACAGTAGTGAGTGCAGGGACACGGATTTCACAGACCATCCCCACCCTCCTTCCTGCACTACGAGATGACTTAATGAGATAAATATAGGTATATCCTGGCTGTCTGGATACCATCAGCATAAATAGCCCAGGGAGGCTCCTCCTAGGTCAGGTAAGATGTCTCCCAAAACCAGGCATCTGATGGAATGGTCTCAGTGTTAATATTTCCTTTTTTTGCTGGCCCCTCAGGAATAAGGGAAAGACTCTGCCCCACTACTCCATTGCTCTTGCAGAAGCCTGTGGGTCCCTTGCTGCTCTTGGGTCATGCCATCCTCCCTAGCCATCTCCAAGCATCGTCTGTCATGTTTCATCTTCCCAGAAGAGCCATCGTCCGTCCACTGGACATAGCCTCTGCTCCTCCACCCCCCACTGTTCCCAGCCTCTTCATTCAGGGGTCTTTCACTGTTAGTCACGTCTAACTCTTATAATTCACCTCTTGACTTCTTGTGGGGCCTTATCCAGAACATCATCCACGATTCACACTGCATGTGACACAGCTTTCCACATCCCAAACTCCCGATATCCAGGCGAAGGACACGTAACCCTACATTCCTTTTAAACAGGCAAGCAGCCACAGGTGACTTGCATCCTGGTCGGATGTTGTGTGTCACGTGGTCAGCCCTTAGCTTGTTACAGTGGCTGAAACACAAGTGTCTCGTAGCTCTAATTGTAAGACTACCACCACAGTGATGAGTCATTAAAGAAATCTAGACCTTCATTAAAATTTTTAAATGCAACGTTCCCCCACACACACACACACACACAACTTGTGGGAGTTTGTTTAGCCTGCTGCCAGTCAGCTTGGAATAAACAGAGTTTCATTTGAATCCCATTGCTAATACTGCTGGATGTAATCCTAGGTCTCTGTGGACCTCAGTAGAATGAAATCCCATGAGACCAGCTCAGTAGCTGAAAAGATCCTTCAAGAGGCTCAAGGATGAGCCTGGGACAAGATGGCCCTAGTTGTTACTTCATCTTCTCTGTGTTCCAGCCCAGTTCTGGAGATGCCCTACAAAGCAGCCCCATGTCACTGTGTTGCTATGTTCTGTCACATTGTAATAGGTCACCACTAATCATTCATGTGGAGAATCATTTTAAGTTATTCCATGCATGCAGTAATCATTCAGACGCTGAAGCTGCCTGGTCTCTGTTCATTTGACTTCAGTGTGTTTGGAGTGTGTTGGGGCCGTGGCCCACATGACAATGCAGGTCTGAGTAATGCTGTCTCCCTCTCTCGGCTCTGAAGGAACTGCCTTGTTCTGCGCTCGCGCCCTCCCTAGAGCCCTGCTTCTCCAGGCCAGAGAGACCAGCAAACCGCCGCCTTCCATCCCGTTGGGCCCCACCTTCCCCCACTGCCTCACAGTCTCAGTCACCCGGAGACCCAGTGTCCTTGGAGGAACGCGGTGAGGAGGACCCGACAGAGGAGAAGCTGCACCTGCGACAGGATGCAAGCTTGCATGGATGATCACCGGGATAATTCACTGTAATTTACATAACCAGACCATCACCACCATCCACCAACCTCTGCCCCAAAGGAAAGATGTAGCTCTCTCAAAGTCAAAGGATGCTTTTAAAACACACACGGCTACTGAATGTTCAACCTGGTAAACTGAGATGTTTCGGGAATGAAACAGTAAACGTGCCTGTAATAATTTTTTTCATAGCTCAGAAAACTATTTTTGTCTCCATCTTTTTTACACACGATATATTAAACAAAAAGGTAAATAAGGTATAAATAGATTTAAAGAGTTTTAAAATGTACATTTTAAGAGATTTTCAAACACCCTTGTTCTCAGTTCCGCCTGCCTGTTGAATTTGCACTGTTCCATTCTGGTTGGGTTTCTCCATGCTGAGTTCAGAGTGTTCTAAGTTAAATTTTATTTCGTCCAGTCTTAATTTTTTTTTTAGGAGTCTTTCTTAATGCTTCAGACTGTCTAACTCAGTGAACTTTTTGTAGTGAAAAGGCCAGAAGGCCAGAAGACAAGAGTGTCCGTAATCTGGAAGGATGCAGGTCAACATTTCTGAAAAGGTACAGAGCCCTTCAGATGGACTCTGCGTGACCCATCTACCCAGCCTGACCGCACATCCTTGGGCACCTGTACATAAACTGCCCTGTCCCTGCCCTCGCCTGCGTGTGCGTTGGTCCGGTCCACTGTAACTCATTGTGAAGTTCCTTGTACTGTATGTACTGTTGCTGTTGGTCCCTTGTACCAATGAGACAACAGCGCCATTTTTAAATTATTGTTAAAACATTACCTGATGGTGTACAAAGCTCACTCGACATTTTCTTGTTTAAGGAAAAGCACTACAGAAAATCCGGAGGAGATCAAACTGAGACAGACAAAGGTGCCTCAGGGTCTTCCTGAGACCATGGTGAAATGGAAATAAAGTCCTTACAAGGAAGAAACAAGATCTTGGTGTAACCATTCACTGGCTGCTCCCTCTCCCTTGTCTTCCTCAGCTCTAAATGGAAAGTGGCTCTGGGTTTTCCTGTAGCTGGCCGAGTGCAGGGGATGAAAGGGAGGGGCTGCACACACCAGAAAAGAGGGACACAGTGCTAGGCATCACTCTGTCTCCATGCAGATTTGCAGCCCAGCATGTTAGTGTTGGGGTGGAGTTACAAAGACAGTGCTGAGGAGCACAGAACTGGTTTGAAAGGCCAGAGCTTCTGGCTTTCATGTTTTATTAACCCAAAGGTTCCCTTCTTTTATAGATGAGGTAAGAAGGCCTCTTCCCAGGATTATGTAGTTTTTCCCTAAATAGCTTCAGGACAAGTGTTAGTGAGGAGATGACCAGTTGCAGCCCTGATGCCCTTTGTGGAGAAGTTTAAGGGTTCAGTCACTGTGGAAGACGGCCTAAATTCCTTCATCTATCTAACAGTTACTATGTAGCCAGCTATTCCCAATGTGGATGGATACACGGAGCTTCTGAGTTGAAATAAGACTCATATATAGGTAACTTTTCACAGCAGTGTTACATATAACAGTCAAAAATAAAAACAGCATACATGGCCACCCACAAACGAGTGGAGAAACAAAATGTGTATACATAGTGGAATATTAGCTAGCAGCAAGGGAAAAGATGTTGTGGTACTCTATTCAATGTGAGCAAACCTTGAAGACCTAGTAAATGAGGTACGTTCAGTCACAAATAACTGTATAATTTCCACTCATGTGATATTTACTAACCCAGTCATTTGTAGAGACAAACTGAAGTAGTGGTGACTGGGAGTTGAAGAAAGGAGAGAAAGGAGTTGGTGTGAGATAGTGAGAGAGCTTCAGTTTAGCATGAAGCAAAGATCCTGGAAGTAGTAGTCATGCCTGTCCCACAGTGAGACACACCTGATGCCACTTTAAAAGAGCTAGCTAGCATAGGAAAGCTTTTGCACAATTTACCACAATCAAATCTTTTTAATGCAGAAAATAAAAATTTTCATATAAAGCCACAAACAACTCAGCAGGTTGGTGTTTTGTCGAAGCTAGGGTGTGGCTCCATGGCGGTTCCTAGCATGTTTGAAGCCTTGGGCTCAGTCCCTAGTCTTAGAGACAGAAAGCACTGCTGACAGGTGCAGACCAGCACAGCCAGAGCCAGCAAGGAGGGGCTGAGAGGCTCACAGCATGAGTTGGGACTGCTGTCTCCAAGTCTGTGTCCTCTGTATCTTTACTCTGAGACAAACATCCTAAGTATTGGTGCTGACAGTGCCTATCCCCCCACTATACCCCCCATTAGTTTGGGAGTCCTAGAAAAAGACATTCTAACCAAGGTTTTATGAAGCTTGATGCTCTTTATTGCTTTGGAATAAGTCACGTTATGGTGCTGTTCCAAAGCCACCTGAGCCAATCATGGTGACAGTTGGAGCTGTTAGAATAGGGGAAAGAGGATGCCTGGAAGGCAGCATGGACTTTGTCTTGCTACAGGACACCCTAAATCACAGAATATGGTCACCAGGATCTTGGTTGAACCAGGTAAACTTCCCAGTTGGCACAGACAGTGTAAGTTTCATTCCAGTGAGGAAGAGATACAGGAGGCTTTAATAAGAACAGCCCCATCGGGCAGCTGGTTAGTTGCAAACCTCCATGAACAAAGCCATCTGGAACCTTCAAATACTTAGGTCTATTATGGAGCCACTCAAACTTTAAAAGGCAAGACCATAGGATGAAATCATTTTCCACTGTTCAGTCTAAATGGGTACTGAGGCAGTTCTGTGGGTTTGGAGTCCGCTGTGAAGGCAGAGCAGCTGTCTGCAGGGAAGGGTCCAAGGGAAGCATCTCCACCAGCCACTAATCATGCACCAGCTGCTCTGCTGGCCTAAAGAGAGATGTGGCAGATTCCTGAGACCCAGGAAACAAGGTTCACCCACCAGCATGCTCTGCCCAATGGCGGATGGCAGCTCCAGCAGCCCGGAGACCTCAGCAAACTACAGTGTATGGCTGTATACCTGTTCCAGGAGGTAACATGCTATGTTAAGGTTTTCAATGTTGTGCATCTAGTTTTTATATCTGTGTACATAATTCTGATTATTTTTCTTTACCCTTTCTAGAAAATGACTTAAGAGATCTGCAGATACTTAACCTCTTAAAATTTTTTTAAATGCATTTAATGTTTTGCTATGCGTAATGAATATCACTGTGTCAAGCAAATCACCATTCCCAGTTCACACAGTAAGTGGCCCCCCCCCCCCCCCCCCCCCCCCCCCCCCTTCAGCAAGATCCCCTGAACATCTCTCCATGTAATGAAGAATGAAGCTGGCCTTGAATTCTGTCCTCCTGCCTCGGCATCCCTGGTACTGAAATTAGAGGCACGTGCCACAACACCTGGCTGTAAACTCTAATCCTCTTAGCAAAAGTCCTAAACACAGGAAAGTGCCACTTCAGCCTTCGTATCAAATATTGGAGCTTTGGACTTTTCAGTTCCAGCTATCTTGCATATTTATATTTTTTAAAAGCAATTGAAAAGTATGACTGTTTTGTTTTATTTCCTAATATGTTGGTTTTTTTTCCAGACAGTGTCATTATATATCCCCTGGCTGTCCTGGAACTCAAATCTATAGTCCAGGCTGGCCTTAAACTCATAGCAATCCTTCTGCCTCTGCCTCCTGGGTGCTGAGATTAAAGGTGTGCACCATCACACCTGCCATTTAAACCATTTTAAAAGGTACATTTCAGTGGCAGGAAGTTCATAATGCTTTCCCAGCCACTCCCAGTATCTTGCAGATACTCCAGGAAACCTCAGATGCATTAACTGTGCCCCATTCCCTGCATGCATGGATCTAATTTTATTCTTCAGGGTTTTGCTTACCTAGGAAATCACCTGCAAGTAGTTTGTAGACTGTGGCCTCCTATATCTGGCTTTTCTCACTTAGCCTAGAGGTTTCAGGGTTCATCTGTGTCGTAACAGTAACAAGACTAAATGCTGTTTGGTTGGTTGGTTGGAGTTTTGATTTTTCAAGGCAGGGCTTCTCTGTGTAGCCCTAGCTGTCCTGGAACTTGCTTTGTAGACCAGGCTGGCCTTTATCTCAGAGATCCACCTGCCTCTGCCTCTAAGGTGCTGGAATTAAAGGCATGGGCCACCACCACCAGGTTGACTTCTTTCATTTTTACGGCTGAATAATAATAGGCTATATTTTGTGTGTCTATTTAGTAGTTAGTAGTGTATGTCTATTTGTAAAGCAAAAGAAAGACTTTGATTACCTTTAAACAGCCTGGAGCATTCTCCCCAAAGGAGAGGATTCACAGTGAGTAGCAGGGGCCAGGCCAGTCTTTAGACTTCCTTGTTACAAGAGGCTCCTTGTGCTTACTATATTTGTCATGATTTTCTTGATTACGTATTGGCCTTTCAGCATCTCTCTCTGAGCACAGTGCAGATCAGAGTCTTGTATAGCAAGAACTCAGGCTGAGTCATAGACAAGCTATTTTAATACATTCGAAGATACTACACATTTAAAGCACTTGGGGCCCCAGAATCCATATGGCACTAAGAGCCAAAGACCTGGGCCAAATCCTGGTTCAGACACATGTAGCATCAGACACTTCTCCAAATCTCAGAAAAAAACAGCAGCAATAATCCCCACGTTGCTGGGATAGTGTAAGGACTAAGGTTTGTAATTGTACTTACTGTGTGCAAGATACCATGTGCAAAGTTGCAAGCAACAGAGACAGGCAGAAAACACTGGCTCCTCCAATTAACTGAGCTTTTGATCTGATGATACAGAGCAAACAGGAAAGTTTGCTTGGTATAGAGAACAGCTGTTACCAAAGGAGGCCCATTTTGTCTGCCACCAACTATGCCAATCACCAAAGCAAGAGACAGCCAAACAAACTGGGAAGTTCTTGGGCTTAAATCTGCCTTCCCAGGGTTGCAGTGCTGGAACAGGTTGTCTGGGGTGGGAGGGGTGCAGGCTGGAGGTAAGGGACTTGAAAAAAACAGTATGCATCAACTTAATGACACTTCCTAGGTTAAGTGTGGCTGTTCAGGAAATGGCACATTAACGTGACCCAAAGGGTGGCGACATTGTGAGAACTCTGGAATTTTGGTTTCTTTAAAAAACACAGGAACACAGTGACACTGGTTAAACAGTAAACATCGTAGGAGAACTATGTACCCTGGTTAAATAAACCATTAGATAAAAAGCAAGCTGTAGCACAGCAAGATGCCTGCTGTAAGAGTGCAGGCAAGCATAGTGAGCATCTAAAGGGACAGCTCTGTCTAGGAGGTGATGTAGGAAGACCTCACACTGCTTGGCAAGCGTCTCGAAGACTACAGAAGGCTTTTCCAGGGACGAAGAAAGAGAGAAGAAAGAAAAAAGATTCTTATTCTTCTCTGGGATTTTTCCAAGATAGGTTCAAAATTATTATCAAGCATTTTTGACTGTTGGATAGTCGTTTGGGTTTTATTGTTGGTCATTTGGTTGTTTTGATCAAATATGATCCTGTGTAAGGTTTTCTGTAACGAGAACTGAAATCAGGAAATGACGGTCATTGTAGTGACACTGGGGATCCTGCCATCATGGTGATGCAGGGATCCTGCCATATATTAGGGTGGCTGGCAGTATGCAGTGGTCTATGGGCAGATCACTTCCCCCTCCTTAACTGCCTCCTGGACAGAAGCTTGGTCTGGCTTTGTGTGGAAGGAGATTCTTTTTTTTTCCTTTTCTCTTTTCTTTTTTTTTATTAATCATTTTATTCATTTACGTTTCATATGATATTCCCCTTCTCCATTACCCCTCTACCAACCTCCATCCCATTCCCACTTTCCCTGCTCTCTTTTGCCTCTATGAGGGTGCTCCTCCACCCACTCACCTACTCCTTACCCCTCTAGCATTCCTCTATGCTGGGTCATCGAGCCTCCCTCCCCTCCCATTGATGTCAGATAAGGTCATCCTCTGCTACATATGCATCTGGAGCCTGGCT